AACACAAACTTGCACAACACGCACACAGGCAACACATGAGACATACAATCAAACACACACTTGCACAACACTCACACAGGCAACACATGAGACATACAATTAACACACACTTGCACAACACTCACACAGGCAACACATGGGACATACAATTAAACACACACTTGCACAACACTCACACAGGCAACAGATATTCAACATACATCGAATAGGTGGTTGAGAGCTCTGGGGATGATGCCTGCCTGGGGACTTTTGGTCCATGATTCACTCTGCGCATCGATCACTCCCTCCATAGTGTAGGTCTTGCCTGTGCCTGTTTGGCCATAGGCAAAGATAGTGCAATCGTATCCCGCCAGCACTTCTGTTAACGTATTGGCAGCGACATCTTTGTAGAGATCCTGTCAATGAAGGCAATATACACACGTGTGAGTACCTTAACTTTTTGTGGTTATAGTGTTTGGGAACACAGGCGACACGCACACAGACATTCTGGTTTTGTTATTGAACACAGCCTATGGACGATGTGACTGTGGTGGATTTTAATCCATATGACATACACATACATCCGAGTTTCTTCCATAGGCTCTGCATGTGACACACACGCACACACACACCCTTCTGAGTTCCGTTTCCCCATGCTTCACATGTCTGATGTGTGTAGTGTGTGTCGCTACATGTGGCAAACATTCATTGTGGTATAATTAATTTGATACAGTATCTATTTCACATCCATTGTGGTATGATTAATTTAATACAGCATCTATTTCACATCCATTGTGGTATGATTATTTTAATACAGCATCTATTTCACATCCATTGTGTGCGAATCAGTAGAATGGTCGCATGCTTGGTGTCTGGGCAACATAGGTCGCTTTGGATGTGTACGAATCTGCGGCAGTGTCTATGTCACGTGCACGACGTGTGTGATTCGTATACGCGACACTGTGTGAATATACGTATGAGTGTATGCCACATGTACCATGACTTATCATTCAATGTACAACTGTACAGGTAGTCTAATACCGTATATATCATGTGTATCATATACTTATCATTCCATGGACAACTGTACAGGTAGTCTAATACCATATATACCATGTGTAGCATATACTTATCATTCCATGGACAACCGTACAGGCAATCTAATACCATATATACCATGTGTATCATGTGTATGTGAGGCCATAAATGGGCCTAGTTCATGGCATATGCGCATAGTGTGCTCTACAGAGTGTCGAGATCAAGTGCATGTGCACATGCTACGGATATGATGCACTTGGCATAGGTCATGTATATGTGAGTCAATACGATTAAGGTTGTATATTCCCATGCGTGCATAGCGCGCATATAGTGTGTGTGCAAGTCGTGCATGGGTCCTGTCCCGTCGAGAATATCGCCACGGGTGTAGTACTCGAGTGTGTATACTACATGTACCATGTATCATGTATCATGTATACGATATGCCTGCCTGCATGCTTCGGTGATGGGTATCAAATACGTGGACATGGGGCATGCGAGAGTACGGATTACATGTGCAGCGAGTCCTACAATCAAAGGTATATACTTTGCATCAGAGTCCCACTACAGGTCTGATACTCGGCGGAGTGGCAAAGGTAGGGTGTATGATCTGTGGAGGTTGTGTGGGTGAGTGCTTCGCATGTATCTATAGTACGTTGTGCCAATGAGATATTTTATTTGATACACCTATGCCTTGTTCATGGACAATGGTGGGATGGGTAGTGTTTGTTCCTCAGTGTATACAACCTGTATACATGTAAACGTTTCATACAATGTGAATGCGCGAGCGTAGACCATGCAGTGTGTGTATGCCACTGTTATATGCATATAGACGTAAATATCACATAAGATACGAGTAGGCGAGGGTAGGATATGAGGTGCGTGTTCCACTGTTATATGTAATGTAAACGTAAAACACCCTATATCTTTAAAATCATGGTGGAAGCTTAGGAGTGTCTGGCACATGCTACGTGTCAGTTAAAAACGCCCCGTATATGGCGAGTGTATGTGTTTCAATAAGAAGATTCGGTATGTCTCGAATAAAAAAAAGGAAGATATATATACATTTACAATCCCCAAACAATCTGACACTAGATCCAACACTAATTTTTATGAATACACATCCAATCAAGAGCCACGTCTATATATATATATATATATATATATACCAATCGGCGTTCCACCGCTACAAAATTCACTATGTATGGCAATTCATGAACATAATCAGTATAATCAGTACCTGCTGTGTAGCAGTAGGCCCAAACACTCTATCGAATGTGAAGGTCTTTGTCTGATGGTTGACACATTGCACATCCACGGTGTGCTTGCGGGATTCGTTGCACTCGACTATGCTGTTGTAGTTGCCTTTCTTCTCCATCTCATTGCGGCCTCTACAACGAACGACCACCTGGATGTTGGTTTCATCTCCGACTTCATCCCGTTTAGCCATTGTGTATATATAATATCAAGTATCGGTTTCTTATATGTATTTTAAACTTAATATCGATATACGATGTGGATATACTAACAATATCTTATTTGTATATAGTATCACTATACACTTTCGTATTGATACCCGTGTACTGCAGGTACTTTGAAAGACTGGAGTCAGTATAATCGAGTCTCGCCAATAAACTGCAATCTGCGCTGCGTATACACTCGTGAGCACACACACACACTGGCGTATTGTCAATTATGCTGTTAGAGATTTACTCACATTAGTAGCTTAATCCCGCACACATCAAGTTTTCTCCCCCAGATAAAATACACATTCATGAATCGACGTCACACGCAAACTATGTTCGACATACACAAACACTGCTTATATCCAAGCGTCCATGACTGTATGACACATATGCCATATACGACCAGTATGGTACATATGATGTGTGTGATACGTATAATTTGTATGCAATATGTATGCTATTTATGTATTTATGTATGTATTGTATCTGTATATGATATGGTATCCATTTACATATGAATGCATCGCATGTACTATCATCAAGCGATCTTGAAGAAATCAAAAAAAGTTAAACTGTATAGCCCGCCCATTTCAGTTGTGTTTTCTCCCGCCAAAACGGCCCGATCGTATTGGTGCAGGCCAAGGTAAATAAAATACACGCATATATATATTATCCGAATATTCCATCCGTGTTGCGGGCCGAGTAGTTCAGCTGGCCGGTTGCGAGGATCTTCTCCACGATTTAGCCAAATTTGTTAGGGCCTCGGGGTGAATTGAACGATTTGGAAGTTCCCGATTTTAAAATATGGATTAGATTTCAATGTAAATTTTTACGGACTACATGGCCTTCTGAATTATACACAGCAGGCTACGCGGACTATTCCTTTCTCGTTTTGACAATATAAAAAACGTATGATCCAACGTTTATTTACTTTGTAAATATTTATTTTTAATAGTGTCTGTGGTTCAATCGAAAAACCCTAAAACCTCGAAATAGTTTATGTACCTTTTTAATGTTGAAAACGGTATTTTATAAAATTACATCCTGTTTCATTTGAGGTGCTTTTGGAACCGACCAAAAAGACGATACACAATCTCAAAACTTTATCCCCACAAGAAGAGAGAGAAACGTGTGAGTAGTGTGACTCACGAGATTTTCACTTTATAAAAATGTAAATATTCTATTTAATGCATAATTTGAAAGTGCATTGTGTGTATATTTGAAGCTCATAAACCTGCAGACGACATAAATATTCTGTCTTTGAAATAATCATAAACAGCAAAATGGGGGAATGTTTTGAGCGTGCTAAATTTGGGGCCATGATGGGAGCCTCCCTTGGACTCAGTCTGGGCTTTATGTTCGGTGCTGCTTCTTCTTTAAGGTATATCACATAATTGAACCGACAGAAACGTTGAGAATTGTGCACGTGTATGGCGAACGAATCAGTATAGCAACGACTTGCTCTGCTACATATAGTTGGTTACTTATAATGTTACACTTTTCTATTACTAAACTCAATGTGTATTAAACACGCCTCCTTCTGAGACACACTTGCGCTGTCATAATGCACTGGGTTATGGACATATGCTTGTGACCTGTCCTGGCAATCGAACCTGGATACAATGGCTATATACATACTATTAGATT